GAGTAATTCGTCACCTATGATATTATAACTGAAATATATACAAAATAACTAATTGAAAAGATAAAATTAATGTAAAAACTTATTTTCATAATACTAGAAAATTTCACAAATAAGATAAAGCTGAAACTATTTACAATGCAATAGACTGGTAGTAGTAGCAGTAGTAGTAGGTTACTTGTGGTAAATATGACAAGTCCAGTTTTCTACCGTATTTCTAAAAGCCTTGAAAGATCATATAGTTCTGTATGAGTTTGGTATTGAATTTTATATTTTTGGTGCTGTAAACCGCCACGATTTAAGGCCGTATGTTGTGGAGTTGGCCAACTTGATGAGAGCCACAACCTTGGACAACACTACTGAGACATTTTCATCGCCATTTTTTAACTTTTGCGCCATACTATTGTCAGTATCTCATCTAAACAGAACTAAAGCAAGCCCCCTCCCAACCCCCTATTCAACGCTAACGTTGTTTCGGTCTAAAAACCAACATACTTATCTAGTCTTCTTAAACAACATTGGATAATGAAAAACGGAAATTAAGTTGGCGACGGTTTCCATTTTTGTTATTTTTACGATGTCTCAAGGTTGAGGTTGAGGTCCCGAGGTTGTTACTATTCCAGCTATATATAAAAATGGTTTCAATTACATTTATGGGTGATACAACTCATCCTTTTCAGTCTTTTCAGCCAGAGTATCTTACTACAGGATGAATCAATCACGGTTGTTTAAACAGAATCTTCGGTATATATAGAATTCATAAAACTGTACCTCGTATTAAAGTAAAGTTTCTTGACTCCTCGTATAGTCGTCGTTGGTAGAGAGTGACAAGGACAACCTTATCCAGGGCAAGAAAGAAGATACAGTAACCCACCGTAGATCTTTCAGTGATCGGGATCAGCCAAAAAGTGAGTTGAGACATGACTTGGGGAAAGGCACTTACGGAGGTGAAAGTCTTTCTGTTTCAATGATGTTCGATTTGCACATCATATATTGTAAAAGTGTATAGGATTTTAATTATTCCTTTATTAATATCAAAAGCTATGTGTTACCACCTTAATGCCATACAAAACGCCTTGACACTACGTGTACATGAAAGTCGCTCGTTTTAAGGTTATGGGTTTTTGTACCCGCTTGGACCGTTTATTATACATTATTTTTTACATATTTTTCAGTAAGATCTTCGGAATCGGGCTCTTACCGGCGATCCTAGATTCAAATGTACCGAGGGGGCTGGTCCCGGGCCGGGGCTCTATAGCAGTGGGGAAGTCCTTCCAAACGGTCCACCGCGCCGCCCCCAAAGTAGATTCGGTACATTTGAAACCAAGATGGCCGCGAGCCAGTAGGGGTGGGTGCTCGATCGATCCCGACAATGCTACGAAAAAATAGGGGGCTGTGAACAGTCTTATTTCCGCTCACATTCGCACGTTTTGGATGCTCCGGAGAGCCTGATGATAA